TGTCCTAGAACTCACAAGCGCTGGGATTAAAGGCATGGGACACCATTGCCCAGCAACCATGAACATCTAGATTCTAATTATACTCCCCACATGGTGGGATTTAATCCAGGCTTTCTGTATACTAGGCAAGCACTTTTACTGAGCTGTATTGCCAGTCAACAGTTCCTTTTTCTGTAGTTTAAGACAGGGCCTTGCTATTTGTACCCTGGGAATGGCCTTAAATTTACAATCTTTCTGCCTCTACCTCCCAAGTGGTGAGATTGCAGGAAAGCACTACTATGTCTGGCTTTATGTAACAGGAACAGATAGCCAAGTTCTATGGAACCAAATGTCTCAAAACTATAGATTTGAGTGTCTTTTTTGTTTTTTGAGACAGGGTTTCTCTGTGGCTTTAGAAGCTGTCCTGGAACTAGCTCTTGTAGACCAGGCTGGTCTCTCGAACTTGGAGATCCATCTGCCCCAGCCTCCCAAGTGCTGGGGTTAAAGGCATGTGTCAGTTTGAGTTTGAGGCCAGCCTTGCTTACATACAGAAACTAACTCCAGCACTTAGGAGGCAGGGGGGAAAAGCCTAGAACTAGGATTTGTCTTTCTCTGATGGCATCCATTTTGTTTATATACAGAGCCACCTACATTGGTCTGATACATCTTTCTCTCTGGAAGATTTATTTCAACTGCTCTCATCACAGCCTGAACATTCCCTGGAGGTAAAAGGAATCTTGACTTGTATTTAAAAAAAAAAAACTTGAATGACAGATCTGTGAATTAATGTACTCTCCTATTGGAATGGCATAACAATTGTGTTAAGTATGATCACTTTGGAGAATTTAAACATACACTATTATCAGACTTAAGATCATTCATATTGGCTTTGTTTTCCTAGTAGCATCTATGAGTCTCTCCTAGCCAGACAGCTCATGAGATTATCCTTGACCCAAAAGCATAAGCTACAATTTAATGGTAATCAGTTTAATTCCCTGATTATTCAGTAGACCCCCTGCCCCCAGATTAATCAGCATATTCCGATTTGAGATATATTATATTCCAAGTAAGTTGTTCATAACCAGTAGTATGTCCACATCAGGAAACAGAAATTAGATAAAAGGAATGATATATTAATGGAACTCCTTTTGAAATATTGTTCTTCAGGGCATCTCACTGGAAGACATTCCACCTTTTCTGAGCAGTGTCGATGAAAGTGTGAATTCCTCAGCACATAACATAAATTTAAGCCATGCTATTAGCCATGATGTCAATCTGCATGAAGCCATGCTGTTGTGTCCCAACAACACATTTAGAAGAGAGCTGGCAAGGACTTCACAGGCACAAGAACCATTTCTGCAGTTAAATTCTCATGTCAATCCTGAGCAAGCCATTCCTTCAATGTCCTTCCCACCAGCTGACAATCAAATGAGGAATCTAACAAGCCAAGATCTCCTGTATGACCTTGACGCAAATATATTTGATGGAATAAACCTAATGTCATTGGCCACAGGTTTCAGTCCACTGGAAGTTTCTCAGCTTTTTGAAGAGCCAGACTCTGATTCTGGGCTCTCATTAAATTCAAGTTACACCACCACCACCAAGTCTAATTCTCACTGCACGTGTGATGATGCTGTAGGTTACAATAGTGGCCTTCAGTCTCTTTGTCATGATTTAGGTGCTGTAGGAGGCTGCTACCCAGAACCCCGTAAACATTGTTATATGGACCATAGGACTCTGTCTGCCTTCCACCAGGATCTCAAATGTCAAATATTTCATGACCACACTTACCACGTACAGCCAGGTGTACTAGAGCCCAAGTCTGAATCTTTTACATGGTCTGAGAAGTCAAAGAAAATCAGTGGGTGCCATGATGACCTAGAGAGAAACTTGAGCCGTGATGAACAGCGTGCTAAAGAGCTGCATATTCCTTTTTCTGTAGATGAAATTGTCCAAATGCCTGTTGACTCTTTCAACAGCATGCTAAGCAGACACTACCTGACAGATTTACAAGTTTCTCTTATCCGGGACATCAGACGAAGAGGAAAAAATAAAGTTGCTGCTCAGAACTGTCGTAAACGTAAACTAAACATCATTCTAAGTCTAGAAGATGATATCTGTAACTTGCAAACAAAGAAGGAAGCCCTTAAGAGAGAGCAAGCTCAATGTAACAAAGCTATTGGCATAATGAAACAGAAACTGCATGACCTCTACCAAGATGTTTTTAGTAGGTTAAGAGATGACCAAGGTAGGCCAGTCAATCCAAGCCACTATGCACTTCAGTACAGCCATAATGGAACTGTTTTGATTGTACCCAAAGAATTGGTCCTATCAGGCAACAAAAAGGTAGCAGCAAAGGGAAAGAGAGAAAGAACTAAATAGGCTCCGGTGGTTTTAAAAGTACTGCTACTTGAATCATTCAGTTAAAAGTACATGCTGAAGTATATTGACTAATGTATAAGACACTTGGTTATGCTTCTATGAAGTTGGGAGAACCACACCATTTTCGTGGACCACTCCTGCACTAAAATTCTAAATACCTGTTTAAGAATCAAGAACTTCCCACCTTATAGTAAGGTGGCCACTTGAAAAAGCTTACAAAAAGATACAAAATGGAAATGGCCTGTAGTATCTTCTGAAGGTATCTTTTAATATCTAACTTTGAAAATAAAATTTTGTATTTCAATTTATAATTTTATCAGAAGTTAAGTTTGCCTTATTCATCCTTATAAAAAACCACTCCAACCCTTACAAAGTTTAATATGCCACTTTAACAAGAGATGCCTCCAAGTTTAGACATCAAGCTTCAGAGCAAAGTACCCCAACTTTGAGAATGCAGTCACAGGCTATATCAAGATACAATGCAAATGCTGGTCCTGAGGAAAAAATACACGGGAGCAGTACTAGTCTGTGATGACTTCACAACCTAAAACATTCCGAACTTTCAGGGTTCACATGTTTAACAGTTAAAATGTACATGAGCCAAAGTTAAGATTGTAACAGAAAAACAGCCTGTCATCAAATTTAGGTAAGTTTTTTTTGGGGGGGGGGGGGGGTAGACAGGGTTTCTCTGTGGCTTTGGAGGCTGTCCTGGAACTAGCTCTGTAGACCAGGCTGGCCTCGAACTCACAGAGATCTGCCTGCCTCTGCCTCCCGAGTGCTGGGATTAAAGGCGTGCGCCACCAAGGCCCGGCAAGATTTTTAATAGTGTACTAACATCCTAGTTCCAAAGAAACAATATTGCCCAGTGGTCCACCATTACAGTGAGTCAATTTTTCCTGTTGTCACAAAAAGTGTAGTGTTAAAACTCAATGTGGAATATATGAACCAAGACTTCCTACATTCACATTAGGCATAGCTTCTTAGTATATGAAAGCTAAGTAAAAAAAAAAACCAAAGGTGGGGGGGAGAGTAAACAAGGACTCAGATGGATTCCCAACATACACCACTGCTCTCAATGACATTGCACACAGTAGCCATACACGCAATAAACCCAATACACATCTTGTACTTAGTGCAGTTGAGGTTTGCACTATCTTATCCTTCAGGTGACCAGCCAGTCAATCAGCTAGTATGATCACAGCTGAGATTAGACACACATTTACAAAACCATTTATTTGGGGACCTGCTCTTTGATAGGTTCAGCCTTCATCTCCAGATTTGACTGTGCCCAGTAAAAAGTGAGGATGGCATGGGGCTTTCATTGCCCCCACCATACTACTTTGAAATCTTATGAATGCAAATCAAAGTTCCTGCCTAGGCGCTAATGAATCCTAACCATACCAAACTTGATGAGGTGATGAGTGTCTTACATTGTCCCTCTGTAATACACATATAACTCTTGGGCCAATCCTACAGCCACATGTGGATAGAAAACACACCCAAGATTGCCTCCCACTTGTGTAGCCTTTCATAAATGCTGTTACCAGTAAAGGGTTGTGGGTGAATAAATGCCTTTTTCTAGAGCAAAAGGACCTTTGGTGGCCAGAATGCTGAACTGACTGGTTTAGGTTGCCCTCAAACAGTCCACAGGATTTAAAATCTTAGCTATCAAGGTGTTCCAAGTCCCAAGTTCAGCTCCTGGAGGAACAGCTACAACAGGCAACTCCAGCTCCACAGTATCCAAAAGTCATATGCACAACACTCATGATTGCAAAGAGTAGACACTTTTTAATCATGTCAACACTCCCAATACTTTCACACTAGTCATTTTTTTAAGAAACCTCACACACGGTAAATACATTGTTAGTCCCATACCTTCCACAAGCCACCACCATGCATTACTTTTGTTTTATGGCATTGCCTTTTACTGCTTTAGCAATGTTTTCCTTATATTTGCATAGTATAAATTTTGAGGTCCCAACTTTTTAATAAAGCAATCTCTTAAGTCAAAGTTTTTAGGGTATGGAGGGAGATGAACCCTTAGATTTATCAACTTCAACTTCCCCAAGGGGTGGGATCAAGAGCACATACATCACATCCTAGCTACTTCTGGTTGTTAGCTCGAAGCCATGTGTTTGGATATTGCTCATGAATGTGCTAGTCCACAAGACATACTAGCTCACATACTGGCCACTGACTTACCTGTATCATTGCTTCATTAACAAAACCAGTTTAAATAAACTGCTTACGTTGGACATTATCCCCGTAGTTTAAACCACAACACTGAGTTTAACCACTTTCTATTAAAGTGTAAACAAATATGCATTCTTGGCAAGATTTCTGATGCACATACAAATTAGTATCAAACCCTACCTGGTTCAAGTCCATGGTTTCAACCATTAATGCCACTATTAATGTTCAACATAAGTTGTAGTGATGTAGATTTCATAAGGAGTTTTTTAATAGGGACAGCAGATAATGCGTATTAGTGCTTTTCTTATTTGTCTAGTAATTTTGAAAAACTGTAAATGTGTGTTTTGTGCACAACTAATTTTAAATTTAAAGGGTTGGCGATCTTGTAGACAACTGGTGTCGATAGAACAAGATTCACACTTGTGTGTAAGCATTACACCACGTTATTTGGATACAAAAGTATTTATTTTATAAAACTTGTACTCAAAATAACTCATCTGTCTACTCACAAATCCTATTTTAAAACATAATACATTATCCTTAGCTAATTTGATGTTAACTCTTTACAAACAGTACTCATTTCACTTTGTAATTTTATCAAGAACCTGTACTAAATCAAGATTTTAATCAGAAAACATTCCCTTTTATCTTTAAAGTGCTTCTTAAATGAAGGCACCAACAAGAACTACTTTCAGATGGTACAGAATTTCTTATTTCTTGCAGACTCTGTGGTTGACCACTTCTTCATTAGTTACCTGCAGCAAGACACCTTCCTGCCAAAGGAAAAAAAAAGTATCTGAAGAAGTTTATCATGTTTGTCCAAAGAACCTAAATAACTTCAGTGGTGGTTTTAGGATTAAAGCAGACTCACTGATGTGTATAAGCCCTGAATATCACATTTCTGGAAAGGCAATAAAGCCTAGATGGCAGAGGGCAGTTTTATGAAATGAATTTCAGTAGCCAACCTACAGCAGTTTTGGGTAGTACAATGGGCAAAATTACCACATTTTAACCCAACTATGTAGAGTACAGGGTATACAAAAGGGTTTTGTTTTTGTTGTTGCACAATATCCTGTCAGTCTCACCCTGATAAGCATGTAAAAGTAGAGCCATAAAGTAATAAACACAATGCCTAGTTGAATCAAACTGCTTGATCCAGGACAGGTGAATAAATACACAAGGGTGGAATGATAGGTAAATCTCATTTATTGAACTTGCAGCCTAACTTTTACCTACCATTTTACTACCAACACCACTGAAGGAAGCAAGAAAAGCTTTATTAATGATCACTTGGCTTGCCTCAGCTGTTGAAATGAAGCACTTTACAGTCTTTGTGGCAGCAGAATATACTTGTCCATGGTTCATATCAATGCTAAAATTCCAGCAGGGAAAAAAATGATATGTTAAGCACCTGAATCTTCATGGAAAGGGAGGGGGTGAGAAAGAAGGAAAAAAAGGGAAAACAACCAAAATGATATAAGTAAATGACAGATTGGAAAACAGGGTTTATAAAATTATCTTGAGTTTATTATGTTAAACTCAATTTATATAGCTATGTTAAACTACATAAGAACCACTATACTGAAAAGACCATTGAAGAGTTTATTAGTTTATCTTTTAGGGAGGAAAATTAAGAAAGAAAAAGTAAATAAGATCTTACCTAAAGAAGTTTAACTGAAGCTTAGAACTACTTTGCTCTACACCCTCAGCTTTCGTTGGCATCCTTATCAACTACTGTAGTTTAAGCTTTGTAGATACAGCACAGTTTCTTAAGACTGGCTGAGCTTAGTCGTCAAGAGTTCTCTTGTACTAGACCTGTGTCCCTGAAGAGTACCTCGCTGGGGTTATTTCCTTTCCTTGCATTGAAGAAGCAGCATCTAAAAGATCTAAAAAGGTGTTTCTCCTTGCAGAGATATCCCTTAAGTTAACTAGGTAATTTAATCCTGATGAATTGCAGACAACACACTTAAAACTGACCAGCATTTATCTTACACAAATACAACAACAGCTTTGCAATGGACCTTAATTATACTACCCACTCCTTAACTTATTTAAAATAAAAAGTCTATAATTACACAATTTCCTTTAGAATTATTTTATTAAATCATAAATGTACAACAGCTTCTTAACTCTACACACGCACTTAAATTTTTAAAGGAAAAACGTTGTCTTATTACACCATGATCCTGGCTAATAGCTTTTCAAAACTTTTGAGAAAAATCTTAAAAAAGGTTTCACATGTCACCTGAAACTTACAAATTTAACATTATCAAAGAAGGAATGCTTCTACACTCTTACAAAGACCACTAGAAAGAAACAACAATTAAAAAGCTAAGAAACTGTCTCAAAGGCATTTTTTTACAATCCTTCCTCCACAGTAAGGTAATGTTATTAAATAATCCAATCCATTCACAAAATGGCTCTCTGCATCTGCTCTGGTGTCTTCTGCCATATCACTGCATATTTATGCATGACTGAGATAAGAGTTTCCTTAACATTGTTATTTCGATAACCTGAAGCTGTTCTGTTACCTCTGGGCTCTCATCCTCTCCTATTTATACAGTGAAGCCTGTTTCAACAGAAGTAAAGAGTAAAAAAAAATAGGTTATGAAATTATCCATCTAACCAGACTTTAAGGAAAGATAACATGATCCTAAAATGCTTTAACTCCTGCAGCTAGTTCTCCCAAGATACTAACAACTGTAAAACTCAAAAACTACTTACCCATGGTAAGTAGGAAGAAGCTCAGTATCGGCTCCTTCCACCATAGCCACCACTTCCACCACTTCCTCCAGGACCATAGTTTCCTACAATGAAATAAGAAAGCAAGCTTAGTTGTATAAATTTCAAGGTTTTATGACAGAGGGTCTTCTACATAAAGCTTGCCTCAATTCAAGAGATCCTACTCCTTGTCAGGGCTGGGATTAAAGCCATCTGAAAGGTGTGACAGAACATCTACCATCTTCTAAGATTATTTGTAAGCACAAGCAGCTTTTAAAATTTGGACCTTATCACAAAGCAAAGCAAAACAAAACAAACAAACCCCTGTTCCTCAACAAGCTAAATGGCAAGGTATTGTACTTGAGACATAGTTTGGTGTTTAGGACAATAAAGACCCTGAGAAACTTATCCTCCTGCCTCCATTTCCCCCCTTGCCACATAGAGGCAGGTGGATCTATGTAGCATCAGGTCAGCCTGGACTACATAGATCCTGTCTCAACATCATCATCCCTGCCATCCCAATCACCTAACTTTACACTTGAGATGTACTTTAACAATTTTATGGGCAGCAAAATCAACTCCTGTACCTCTCAAAAATTGTTCAACTTCTATACCTCAACTACCTAGAGGTATTTCAAGTCTTATTACCTCCACCATATGGTCCTCCCATGTTCCTGCTACCACCAAAGTTTCCACTCTTCATTGGGCCATAGTTAGAAGGTTGCTGATTATAATTTCCAAAATCATTGTAATTTCCACTTCCATAATTTCCTATGAAAGAATTAAGAGTATCAGCTAACAGACCTCTGAACTATTACAGAAGCACAACTATAATTGAGGTTTAACTTTTACAATAAACTTTCTACAAAAATCAAATGATATAGTACCTATCTATAATCCTACAATTTAAAGCATCTAGGTGACAATGAAAATAAGTTTCATCAATTCTAATCCAAATTCCAACATAAAAGTTGTATATGAATTTATTACCTCCTCCATAGTTGTCATAACCACCTCCGTAGCCCCCACCCTGGTTGCCATATCCAGGTCCTCCACCACCATATCCTCCTCTTCCTCCTCCATAACCAGGGCTACCTCCAAAATTGCCACCTATTGTAAAATAAGCCTTTAAGTAATTGCTTAAATTTTTCAATTCCATTTGAATTGTCTTCATTACACTCAATTCTGGTTTTTGAAAACACAACTTTTTATATGGTTATTTTAGTCTATTCTAGCCTATTTACTCAAAGGTTAAATAAATACCTATTCTTTAGCAAACATTTCAGGGTCACAAACCACCATTTAAAAAACCTAAAATAAACTATAATACCAATACTATACTTTGAACCAGGAAATATTTGCAATTCTTATGCTCTGTAGTTTGTGGAAGAAACATGGAGACAGCATACTGGCATGATTTAAACTCTGGCAGGCTGATCTGAATTTGGTATCAACCTGGTCTACATAGAGATCATCTCAAGGAAAAAAAATTTGTAGGCTATCTAAGGGGATCCACCAGTACTCTTTATATTCCCCTGTAACATACAGACCTCAGATTCCAACATTCTAGCTTTTATACAACGTGCAATACCCATCTAGCTAGCTACAGGCATGCTTTGCTTGGTTACAAAACTCTGCATTTTAAAAAGCCAAATAACAATTATACCCAAGTACTGACAAGACAAAATAAAGTGATACACTTAATAAAGCACCAAATGCACTATTATTAAGTATATTAAGATAAATAAAGGAAACTAACCTCCAGGTCCTCCTCCATACCCATTATAGCCATCCCCAAATCCACGTCCACTTCCATATCCATCTGTTTAGAAAAAGTAAAGTTACACTTATTTTATTTTTCTGTTTTCTATTAGTGTCTCAGAATGAGGATGGTTGGAAATCTTACCAGTTTATTCATTGCGGGGGGAAGTATGTTAATTACAACTTATTACTAATGCAACCCACTTTTTAAAATCCCCACAAATGTAGAAAAATTATCCCCTTAATATTAAGGAGTTAAGTGTATAGTATCAAAACTTCTAAGTCACAACATTCATATAACTGAAACCTAAAAAGAAATCTACAGTTTTTGGGGTGAACAGAGACTTATGAAACAGCCTAGGGCTTATATTGAATTCAATATATGTGCGTGAATGGCTGAGGAAGACTTGTAACTTCTAGACCCCTGCCTCCTGTTCCCATACTGAAACTAAGGTGCTAGGGATTCAACTTTAGGCTAGCAGCATGCTAGGCACCATACATGCTCAACATGTTTTATCATCACACGGCTGAGGATATCCTAAATCCCATTAAACCATCCTCTTCAAAGTCATGCTCTTTAAAAAAAAAAAAAAAAAATCACTTACCAGAACCTCCCCTGAAGTTGCTTCCGGGTCCTGGTCCAAAATTGCCACCACCACCACGAGAATCCCCAAAACCAAAGTTTCCTAGGACATATGTTTTGATTAGTAGCAAGCATTCAAGACAACCCATCAAATATATGTAGCTATATATAAAGCACACAAATTTAAAAATACATATAACTTCTTACCTCCTCGTCCACTCCTAGAACTTTGGACTTCCTGCATTTCTTGTCTAGACAATGCCTTTCTAACTTCTGCATTGTGGCCATTGATGGTGTGGTATTTTTGCACTGAAACAATGAATTATTAATTATTTTAATAAGCAATCCTAAAAGTTTTAACAGCTGTTAATAACCCAACATTTTATATACAAACCACTTTTTATGCCTAGACACTTACATACAATTTTATCCACAGGATCATGGTCATCAAAAGTAACAAAGCCAAAGCCTCTTTTCTTCCCAGACTGCCTATCAGTAATTATTTCAATAGTATCAATTTTCCCATATTCTTCAAAATAATCTCTAAGGTGGTGTTCCTCAGTATCCTCTTTAATTCCACCAACAAACAGTTTCTTCACAGTCACATGGGCTCCTGGTTTTCCAGACTCCTACAACAGACAGCAAGAAAGTTATCCTGACATAAAAAACAAATATACAAATTAAACTACCTTGAGACCATGACAAATTCCTTCAGATAAAGCAATAGAGTATAAGAGGTTAGTTTTGGAAAGTCATGTACAAAAAGCTAGTACAATTCAAGAAAAACATTGAACATATTTTGCTCACCTCTCTTGCTACAGCACGTTTTGGCTCAACCACCCTGCCATCAATGGAATGAGGCCTTGCAGCCATGGCAGCATCAACCTCAGCCATGGATGAGAATGTTACAAATCCAAATCCCCTTGATCTTTTGCTTGCAGGATCTCTCATAACCTTTAAAACCAAAAGATACCATTAATTTCAACATATTCATCAACTAACACCAATTAGTTTTTTGCAGGGTGTCATAACACACGCGATCACTGAGTTCAGGGCCAGTCGGGTCTCCAGCACAGCCAGGTCACAGAGAAATGTTTCAATTACCCCTAAAGTCCTTTTTATATACTAGTTTTCTATAAGACTCAACCCTCCCCCCCAAAATTTTGTTTTGTTTTGTTTTTTCAGACAGGATTTCTCTGTGGCTTGAGGCTGTCCTGGAATTAGCTCTTGTAGATCATGTGGGTTTCAAACTCAAGAGATCCGCCTGCCTCTACCTCCCAAGTGCTGGGATTAAAGGCGTGTACCACCACCCAAAATTAATGCAGGCTCAACAATATTAGAACCTATAGCCAGGACTTTCACAATTAACGTACCACACAGTCTGTGAGCTTTCCCCATTGCTCATAGTAGTTTCTCAAACTTTCTTCTGTAGTTTCAAAGCTTAAGCCACCAATAAAGAGTTTACGAAACTGTTCCTTTTCTCTCTGTAAAGAAAAATACCATTTCAATTTTTATTTACATTTTCTCTTTGTATGCAGGAAATAAAATTCTTAAATATGAGGTGACCTGCTGGCAGAGTACCTTTTTCCTCTCCAAAGGAACAGTTTCTAAAGTTTTCTGGGGGGGAAAAAAAAAACTTACATCAAATTTAAACCATATGTTAAACTGCATATTAGTTGTGTTACACCAAAAATTGTCTCAGCTGAACTATGCAAGTTTTAAAGTCACTAATATTTTATCTAACTTCGATTCACATAAATTACCTGAACTTATAGACTTGCTTAAAAATCTGAGATAAACCATACCCAACTCTGTGATTTAAGGGGTGTTAAAGAATTCTTGAGAAAGTCTATATTAAATCCTACAATTCAAGCACAGAACTTCACTCAAAATTTTTATTGGAAAAACTAGTAAAATTTCCATATCCATTGCTTACTTCAGGATTCATTTTTAGAGTAGTAGATCGGCCTCTCCTTAAACTGCCCCCCCCCCCGTGTTAGACTTAGCATGGGGGGGGGAGATCCTGCAACTCTTAAGCTCCATGAAGTTGAAAGCACAGGATACACACAATACCTTAAACTTGGAAAAGTTTATTCCTAAAGCCATCACCATCTAATTTAAATATTGGGGTTTTGGGAGGCACTCCTTGTCTGGTAGCCAAGCTGTAGAAGTTAAAAAGCACATTTATCGAGTTACCATTGCCCTAAATTTATTCAATTATTTTCAGTAATTGGTGGCCTTCTGACAAATCACTCAAAAATTTCCAGTAGAAAAAGCCTGAAGTAAATATTAACTGATGTGTTATTACTGAATTATAAAAAAAGGAAGCTTAAAAACCAAGACGCTTATATACTAGGTCATACTATCCAGAACCTGTCTTGATTGCGTAACTGGAAAGGCAAAATTCATTATAAAAAATTCCACAATTTATTACAACTCAGATCTATTAAGGTTCTCTTCAAAAAATAAGTCTCTAAAAATTGTTTGCTGCCCTATTTCAGGTTCTGAAATTTGGAGAAATCGAAACGACAAAATAGGTTAAAGATTAAAATACGACATTTTAAATATTTTAATTACTTAACATGACTGGAAATAAGTTTCTACGGTTGTTCTACATACATGCCCATACGCTTCTTTAAATTCAAATTGTTAAGTACACAATATACCATTTTTAATATCACTAACAAGAAGCAAAAGCTTATTACTTACCTCATAGGTTTTTCCAAACTTACCCGACGTCCACTATCGATTATAAACAAGGTTATTTTATACACGGACTTAGGGTCAAAGAAAATAACCCAGTAGACCCCCTTCAAATTGAAACCTTACCCCTATCAATGTTAACCATGATTTGTAAACATAAATCAGAAAAGCAAACGACAAAGTTCAAATACATTGTGTCCCTACTAAAAGTTTTTCTATAGCGTAGGTTCCTGGGTTCATGTTTACCGATCCACGCTGTCAGCAAAGGGAACTACGAAAAAGTTATTTCACTTCCCTAACGTGGCCATCACGTGTAAAGATCTGTTGTTCAAGCAACAAGCTTCCCTTTAAAATGCTCACAATCTCCATTATTCCAAACAACAGGCTCCTTCGGGAAACTAAACATACGCTGTAATAAAAAAATTAATATCCCTCCGCCCAAGATAACCTTGCAACTACAACTGAGCGCTCTGAACTTCCTTTACAAGTGGCAGACTCATAAATCCCCCAATTAATGGAGTCAGAAGCCAGCTAGGAAGAATAAAATGGTTTCGGCCGCAGGCTGAGGCCCTGACCGCACCGCACTCTCTCGGCCCGCGCCAGCCAGCCTCGAGGAGCGCCTCCACCCCCACCCGCGCCTCTGTGTGGCTCCTGCGCGCAATGGCGCCATTTCGTCGAGGGGAAGGCAGGGCGCCTGCAACGAGGCGCGCAGGACGCCAAAGCCCAGGCTCAAAATGCTCGAAACCCACCTCGGGACGGCTTGGAAACACGCCGCACACGGGGGGAACTTACTAATCACCCCCTACGCGGTGGCCAGGGGGCCAAACCAGGCGGCCTGGGAAGCGGTGAACGCAAAAACCGCTGCGAGGCAGGAGACGGGAAAATGGCGGACGCCAAATCCGGTTCCCGGGAGGGGGGGAAGGGAGGCCCCGCAGACTAGGCTCCGGGGACCCGGAGGGGCGCCGAAACGCTCCGCCGCCAGCACACCGGGGCCCCCAGGCCCCAGCACCTCGAGAGGGGACGACGACGGCCCGCTCCCGCGCCCCCTGAGCGGCCAGACCCCCTCGCCGCGGCCGGGCCCCATCCCCCACCCCGGCGAAGGAAATGGCGCCGGGCGGCTGAGGGCGGGGAAGGCGTTCGGACAATCGGGCCTCGGCCAACGACCCCTCAAGAAGTCCCCCGGGGCCAACCGCCACTCGAGCGGCCGCTCCCCCTCCTCCCGCCCGCCCGGCCGCACCGGCGGCGGCGGCTGGCCGGCTTCCGCCGCGGCACCTTCGGCCTCGCCGTGCCCTTTCCAATAACTCATTGATTTCAAACCCGTTACCTCCATCGCGGACTCAGTCGCTTCAGCCCGATTTCCCGCAGCCGAGCGAGAAGAGAAAGACCTCCGCGGACGCACACGCACGGGACTCGTCCTGACGCTGTGGGGGGGGAGAGCAGCCGCTGCTCGAGAAACCGCGCCGCTGGGAACACCTGCACACAGGACCCGGCGCCGCTGCTACTGCCGCTGGAGCCGGGACCGCCGCTTTTCTAGAACCTTCCCCCCACTAACGCGTCCTCGCTTACGTCAGGCCGTTACGTAAACGTCCTAACCGCCGCCAATGGCGGGAAGGGCCTAGCCCCGCCTTTGCGCCGAGTGCGCGCGCCCTCCCCCTTCGCGGATAGCGAGGCCGCGTTACGTCACTTGCGCAGCCGGGTTTAGTGAATTGCGGAAGGCTCGCGCGCCCAACGTGTTACTACGTCCGGAATTAGGTCCGGCCCCCACCTCCGCGCAAGGAGCCGAGAAACGGTCGCGCAGTTTGAAATCAACGCTGCCGGGCGGGGCTTCAGCCGCCGCTCAGGCGTGAGGAGGCCCTCGCCGCCCGGGCGTGCTCCCTGCGGCGACGCCTTCGCCGCCGATCCCCGCTGCGGGTGCTCGAGCCGCACTAGTCTTCGTACCTGTCCCCCCCACAAGGGGCGCCGGTCCCTCCCCAGAGGACGTGTAGTCCGGTCGCAGCAACCCGGGAGAAGTGGTGCTTAAGGAACCCCGCCACTGAGCTCCCCAGCCCTCGGGCCCGGGGCGAGGAGGTGGGCGGAGCCCGGCTTTGGCGCGCTGGACGACGCAGAGAGGCCTCGGCGCGTCCCGCCTGCCTCCCCCCAACCCCCCTCAGGAGACCCCCAAGGCGCCACGCCGCGGACGGTGAGTGGCGCGCACGCCGCCCCCCGCAGGACGCGTTCCCGGCGGGCCCCGCGCGGCCTGGGCGTGGGCGGCGCCTCCCCTCCCCCCCGGCCGAGCTGCCCGCGCCCCCTCCCCTCGGATGTGGCTGAGCTGAGGCGCGCAGCCGGGAGACTCTGCAGGATCCGAGCCCCGGAGCATCTGAGCGGTGAAGTCGGTGGCTTGCTTTCTGTGTCGCGCGTGGCGGCGGGGGAGGGTGTTAGGATGCTCTGTGCTCCCGGACTTGCGGGAAGGCTGCGGGCCCCGCGCTCCCCCGTGGGCCCCGGGCTGCGGGGCGGCCGGCGGGGCCTGGCTGAGGCGCCGCCGCCGCTGCGCGGGGGAGATGGCCCAGGGGTGGGAGAGCGATGACAGCTGCGGAGACGCCAGACAAAGCGCGGGCTTCCCCTCCCCCAGCCGCGCCGCCGGCCCGCGGCCCGAGCGTTAGCGGCTTTGCCGCCGCGAGGCCCGGGGCCCCGCGCTTGGGCGCGCTCGCCGCTACGTGGCCGCCGCCGCCGCAGGGGGAGGCGTGGGCTGGTGGCGCAGTGCCCTTGAGCCCCTGCCGTCGCCTTTGTTTCTCCCCGCGGAGGCGCTGACCACGAGGCCCGCGCTCCCGAGTGGGGGGGGCGGGCTCCCAGCCTTGGCCTGTGGAGCAGGGAAGGGTGGCGGGCACGGAGGAGGGCAATCCCTTCCAGCTTTATCAGTACTTGGCAGGATGGAGGCAGGAGTATTGCCTGGGTGAAAGCCCACACTGGACTATGGAGAGCGGTACTCTTCCCTCTTTTAAAAAAAAGGAAAAAAAAAGGCCAGGAAATAGGACCGAGACATCCTAGTGTTTTCCTTTTCGTGATTGATGAGGGCCCAGGGCTTCTGAAAAAGGCAGGTTGGAATTATATAGGAGCACCTGCGACTATGCACAAATCTAGAGAAAAAAATTTTAACGATAATTTACAGATAAAAAGTAATGATGCCCGATTTTGAAACAGAATATTGCCTTTATACAAAATAAACACTGACTTTGTTACAAACAAGATTATCGCCAAGTAAAGTTGTCTGAGGTACCAGCGTCCTTCCTAAGGTTATCTCTACTAACTCTGTTAAAGCACTAACATGCTCAAGTATGTAACACTAATATCACAGAAACTCAGAATTGTTTACCTGCGTTTTTATCTAAAATGTGCAGGTTGAAATCCACACAAAACTTGTAGTTGTTTTTTGTGTGTCATGAAATTTTAACTGTCATGCATTTTTTTCTTGTAATAGCTCTTCAAGTCTTCGATTTAAAAAAAATGGCCTCCAATAAAACTACATTGGTAAGTTTGTGAAACCCCAAACATGTAAGGATCTTAGAGAATTTTTGTTCTTTGAAAATTAAAACTAAGAAGCCTATAAGTGCTTCTTATAGGCTAAGAAGCACCTTTAATCTCAGCACCCTAAAGGCAAGAGGCAGGTGGATCTCTTGAGCTGGAGACCAACCTGGTATGTAGAGAGAGTTCCAGGACAGCCAGGGCTACACAGAGAAACCCTGTCTCGGAGCAAAAAGAATTACTAGTCAATCAGGACATCGCTATGCATGACTTTAGTCTCAGCAGGGCCAGGTGAATTGTTTTGAGTTTGAAACCCAACTACCTACATCCAGCCATGTACTTCCCAGCAGTCCGAAGAGAAACTGAGTTGGTAATTTTGAAATATTCTTACTGGCTTTCCTTGAGGGCCACAATGCATCTTTTAAAAGCTAATCTTAGGACTACACAGTACGTCTTAGCTGAGTGTTCTTATTTTGAGATAAGGATGCATGTCTGGGGCTGGTGAGATGGCTCAGTCCTCCACCCAAGGAAAGGAAGAAGGGGAGAGAACAGAATCTACAAGATTGTTCCCTGATCTCCATGCAGGTGCTTCCCACTATTCCATCTTAACATTTTTAATGTGAAAAGAATGCTACGGGGAAATCTCTAAATTCGTAGTTGATTGGTATGATTGTCATTAAATCTGTGCTGAAGTTTTAGAGGCACTAAGTCTTCATTAAATGCAGAATTTTAGAATTTTAGAAAAGTCACTGCACAGTGCATTGAATTGCCATGAGCAAGAATTACAAACTGTGTCTAGGAATGAAAGAACAATAGACCGATTCTGTATCTTTTGAAGAATTTCCTGACTGTTGCCAAACTCCATGTTTGTACTCTTGGGTTTTCTAGCAAGTTAAACAAAAATTATAGACATTTGTTTTTGTCAAGTTACAGCAAAAAAAAAAAAAAAGTAAGGTTAAAACTGGATCTGCTGGACAGTGGTAGCACAATCCTGTAATTCCAGAGCTCCAGAGATAGAGGCAGGTGGATCTGAGTTGGAGGTGAGCCTGGTCTACAGAGTTGAGTTCCAAGATAGCCAGGGCAGTTACACAGAGAACCCTTTGGGGTTGTACTGGGTTTGATGGTGTATATTCGGAATCCCAGTGTGTTGGGAATCTAAAGCTAGCAGGTTGCTGTGAGTTTAAGGCTATTAGCCTGGACCCTAAAATACTAAGTTAGGACTGTATGGCCAAACTCTGTCTGGAATCAGAGATACATATAAAAATTGAAATTTGCCGGGCGTTGGTAGCGCACGCCTTTAATCCCATCACTTGGGAGGCAGAGGCAGGCGGATCTCTGTGAGTTCGAGACCAGCCTGGACTACCAAGAGAGTTCCAGGACAGCCTCCAAAGCCACAGAGAAACCCTGTCTCGAAAAACCAAAAAAAAAAACCAAAAATTGAAATTTACTATTCTTATATTCTAATGCATTGGTCACAAGCATATGAAGGCAGGTATTAACACCTAAGTAAAACAAAACTTGCTTTTGGGGCGGGGGAGGAGGAGAGGGAGCTGGAATTGATATGTGAAATAAGCTCGTATCTAATTTAAGTTATAAAAAAACACTTGCTTTTGATCTGCATAGTTTCATCCTTGAGTTTCTCACCAAAAGGGGCAAGATGGTGATTTTTAATTTGTGCTGTCGTCATACTGTACTGACCTGTATACTCTGCAGAACCAACTAGATCTGTTTGGTCACTCTTGATAAATGACCAAATATAGGTTAAAACCTTAGTTATAAAAAGACTGAGTCATTGGGCTCAGTATGGTGGTAGATGCCTTTAATCAGAAAGCAGAGGCAGGTAGATCTCCATGAGTTGAGGCCAGCCTGGTCTACAAACTGAGTTCCTGGACAGCCAATACTGTTTCACAGAGAAATCCTATCTGGAAAGAAGCATGGCTCATTTGGTGAATTCCATAGGATGTTTGTATAGGTATGCCCCTATATGCTAATAGATTTAAATATCTTGGTGGTTTTGGGGTGCTGCTCCCCTCTCGGATCCTTCATTTGGTAGATGGTTTTAGTGACTAGGCATTTGGGGGGTTCGTTTTGATTTGGTTTGATTGGTTTAATTTTTTAAGTAGCACCTGTGCATACCTATAATGCTAGCACTGGGAGAGGCTAAGTCAGGAGGATCACAGCAAGTTAAAGGCTAAACTGGGCTACTGTCTCAAAATTTTAAAGGGTAAATAGCACCATTGTCGAGAACTGTATTGGGTTACTGTGGTACTCCATAAGGGCTTGTAATGAACTATCTCAAGGTTTTAAACACCTGGTTACACTCCTTTAGCAAAGATGCTTATGTGCTGAGAAAACACTCACTAATGTTAGACACATCCATCCTCTAGATAGAAAAAAAAGTTGTTTTTGAGACATGGTTTTCCTCTAACCCAGGTTGACCGTGAACTCATCAGCCTATTTCAACTGCCTAGGTGCTTGTTAGTAAGCTCATCGTGTCTACCTCATTCCACATCAGCTATCAGTTAAGATTCTAGGTTGAAATCCAGGAAGTAATTTTCTTCCCATTTAAGGAAGAAATCCACTATTTTGGACTATTACAGTGATAGTATTAGATGTGAGTGGTTAGGGAAATTATGGACGTGCAATTATGGAAAAGGATCTTGTCCTTTTTAGTTTATTTATGGTCTCCATGGTTGAGCCTAAATTAAGATTAAAACTTTTCAGTTTGCAGTTTTATCTTTGGGACAATTTTAAATTGATACTGTCATTGGGAAAGGGATGTCTTAGAGCTGCAGTTTTAACAGGTCTACTCTGCTGCACTTAGAATGACCTACATTTAGTGGGGTGTGTGGTGCACACCTATAAACCCAGTACTTGGGATGTAGGAGCTGAAGGATTGGGAATTTAGGGTCTTCCTTGGCTACATAGTGAACTGGAGGCCACCCTAGTCTATATGTGTGACCTTGCCTTGAGTATTTGTTTTTTTGTTTCTTTTCTTTTTTACTATCACACTTCATTCTTAGTTGCTCTTTATTGCTGTGATAA